CCCCTGACAAGCTTGCTTTTGTCCCTCCCCTTTCTCACTTCCATCGACCTTCCTGCCTTGCAGGTGCTAGCACGGGCCTTTCCCCTCGCCATGTTTGGCCGTTTTCTCATTGGTATTGGGGTGGGCCTCGGGCTCGCCATTGACGCACTTTACATTGGCGAAATCGCCCCTCCCAGCCACCGTGGGCACCTGGTGTCCTTCTCGGAGGTGGCGCTGAATTTTGGGATCATGTTGGGTTTTGTCGCGGACTACGCACTTCTAGATGTGGGGCCTGGACTGGATTGGCGCTTGATGCTGGGCTTAGGGATGGTGATGCCCTCCATCCTCATCGTCCTCTCCTTCACGGTCATGCCGGAATCTCCCCGCTGGCTTTTGATGCGGGGTCGGCGGGAGGAAGCCGTAGCAGTATTGCGGAAAGTTTACATGCCAGGGAGCAATGTGGACGGTGTTGTTGCTCAGATAGAACATCATATACAAGCTGATTTCGCCGCGGATAAACACAGCAGTTGGCACGCCATTTTTTGTCCGACTCCGCCCGTGCGGCTGATGCTTTTGGCAGGGATTGGGCTTGCGGCTTGCCAGCAATTGAGCGGGTGTGAAAGTTTGATATATTTCTCTCCAGAATTCATGAGAGACGCCGGCTTTGTCACGAAGAACGCGGCCTTTGGGATGACCATCCTTGTAGGGGCGAGCAAAACGCTTTTCACCATCTTAGCCGCCCTGTACGTGGACCAAATGGGTCGTCGGCCCTTGCTTTTCATCTCCATCGGAGGACTCTTTGTCTTCCTGATCGTGATGGGCCTGGCCTTTGAACGAGAGAGTCTGGCCTGGTTGATGGTGGTAGGTATGTGCCTCTATGTCGCTTTTTTCTCCTTGGGAGTTGGTCCATTAACGTGGGTAGGGACCACTGAGGTATTCAGCACGCGCATCCGTGCCAAGGCCATGTCATTGGCAACGTCCTCCAACCGTCTTATCGCTGGAATCGTTGCGAGTACAACGCTCCCCCTGGTCCAGGTAGGACACCCGGAAGAGATGGGTTTCAGTTATTCGATTGTATAACAAGCTTTCCTGTGTATGTATCACCAGTTTTAATTTATTAAATTCATGTCTCTCACCTAGGCGCTGACACCCATGGGGTTCTTCTTCTTCTACGCCTGCATGACGATGGGCACTGGGGCCTACGTGTATGTCTTCTTTCCTGAAACGAAAGGAAAGTCTCTTGAAGAGGTGGAAGAATATTTTGAACGGGTTGCAGCACAGGCGGGTGCCCGGAGAAATAGGAAGAAGGGAGGTAACCGGGAGGGTGAGCAGATGTACACGGCCCACACCGACGGATCGAATGAAAGTGAGGAACGCCAAGTTGAAATGATCAGCTGAAAATTGTATAGGGTGCAGTTGCAGTACATTTAAAACTTGAAAATAAAATCTTAAATACTCGAAAATGATGGGATGGCTGATTGTCTTCAGAATCAGGCCAGGGGCTAAGGAATTGTCTGAGTCGGGATCTTACCTCTTGTGAGCCTCTTCGATGCAAAACAAATATTTGTCAGCTGCTGTAACTGATAATGCAGCATTAGAATTGCCTTTGTTGATACATTTATTCTACTTGTTGTGTCAAGTAACTCGGAAAGGAAATCATTTTCAGGCAATTTTAAGTGTCAGTGGTGTCTTAGGCAAGCCGAAGGGGAAAAAAGCGACAGCTGACGGCCGGAGGCGCGAGGACCATGGAAGTCTTGCAATGCCTCGAGCGCTTTGTCTTTATGTACAAGTGCGCAGCCATACAAGCCTTTAGTTGCTACATTTACGTGTGTATTTGTAGCTTATATCGTGCTTGTACGTATGTAAGGTTGGTGCAGTTGTATTGACGATGGTGTGCAGGCCTTAAAAAACAAGAAATAGGTTTGGAAGCCACTGTCAAAGCAGACTTGTGTCGGTGTCAATGGCTTTGACTCTGCTGCGCCAATCTGCAGATGCTGTGGGCATAATATCATTGTAAAAGATCCTTGATGGTAGAAGACAGGGCATATTTTCACGGACCACGTTCGCGCCTCCCTCTACAAGGCAAGACGACCATAGCCTCGTTCGTATGGAAGTCTTCCTGTGTCTGTACTTGTCGATGCACATCAAAGTTATGTACAAAGGCGATCTGCAAGCTCGTTGGGATTCTCAGCTCTGGCTCGTCTTTCGCAGATCTGCGCCTCGTTGATCGCCTTGACACCTTTCTCTCACCTCCACATCGACCATCCCCCTCCAGTCGCATCATGGCACAAGCCCCTGTGGCCCCGTCGGCGGAGCTTCAAGATCTCTACGCGACGCTCTACCATGCACTGGAAGAGGAAGCTTTTGAAGAGGTGCTGTCTGCCGCTGACGCAGTTCTGAAAAGCGCGCCCGACGAGCTGGAAGCCCGGGCAGCAAAGGCAGCAGCAGCCCTGCACACAGGGGACTATGCTCTTGCCTTAACCACGGCACTTCCAGCTCAGGATTTCGAACGAGCCTATGCATTGTACAGACTGGGACGAGGTTCTGAGGCCTTGGCTGTCTTGGACGGAAGTCCCGAGCAGAATGAAATATCCTTTCGGCATTTGCGGGGCCAAGTCTTATTCAAAGAAGGCCGATATGATGAGGCCATTGAGGTGTTCTCGGCTCTGGTCGAGGAGGGACGCAAGGCGGGAGACGAGGAGGATGTCGAGCTGCTGACCAATCTGTACGCGGCCTTCGTGGCAGCCCGTCGCGGCCAGGAGGCTTTATCTCGTTTTCCCCTGGAGGCAGAGCTGCGTGAGACCTCCTACGAGTTGGCTTTCAATTCCGGTGCCGCCCTCGTCGACACGGGCGACCTGAGTGCCGCTGAAGCGCGTCTGCGGGAAGCTTTGAATGTCTGCGAGCGACTGGGGTTGGAAGAGGAGATGTCGCCTGTGGACATCCTGAACGAAGGGAGCGGGATTCGACAGGAGCTGGCTTACGTCTTGGCCTCCCAGGGACGACGCCGGGAGGGCCTGGAGATGGTGTCGACGCTGACAAAGAAAGCGAACAAGCTCTCGGACCCTGTGGTCCGCGCCTCTGCGATGATTACCGCGGCAGCTTTGAAGGGCGGTAGGGGCCAGACCAAGGCGCAAGGCGGTTTGAACAAGTTGCAGGCAGCCTTAGAGGAGGCCGGGCCCAAAATGATACCCGGACAGAGCATTTTGCTCCGAGTGAACGAGGCGCTGATGCTGGTGCATTCTGGCAGGCTGGACGACGCGGAAAAGGCGGTGGCCGCGCTCAAGAAGGAGGCAGCTTCGGCGACGGCAAAGGGGGGAGGACAGGCCCCGGGGACCTGGCGTGTGGCCCTGGTCGAGGTCGCGATCAAGATGCAAAGGGCCGCGACCGACCCCGCGGGAGACCTCCAAACCCTGTTCCAGACCGTGCAAGCCATGGCGCGTGGCTCCCCGTCGCAGGACAGCGTCGACGCCGAGCAACAAGTGGGCACGGCCTGGGCCCAGTGCCTGGTCTATCAGGGAAAACTGCGCGAAGCCGCCCAAGTGCTGGAATCCATACCGTCCCTGCAAGGATACCCGGCTGTGGTCGCCACCGTGGCTTCCATTTACGCCAAACTCGGCTTGGAGGAGGAAGTGCTGGCCACATTCGACCGTGCCGTCTCCTCCTTCCCGCCCTCTCTTCCTCCTCCCTTCCTTGCCAAGCTGTTGCGGGGAACTGCGGCCCTCCGCCGAGCCAAAGGGGATCAAGCAGGGGCCGCGACGGCCTTGCGCGCGCTTTTGGACTCGGACAAGCTCAAGGGAGAGCTGGACAGCGACGTGAGGCTCCGCACGCTGGCAGACTTGGTCATGGCAATGTCGTGGGTGGACGGAGAAGAAGCAGGGAAAATCGCAGAGGCGGAGCTGCCGGCGGTGGAAGGGGAAGGAGGGAACGAGGACGAGGAGGTGGACGCCAGCATTCTAGAGGAGGCCGGGCTGCCTCGACGGCAGGGGGGAGGAGAACGGCGGACGCTGCCGCCCGGCGCGGCCCCTGGGGGCCAGAAGGAAAAAGAGGAGGAAGAGCAAGCCAAAGCAGCGAAAAAAGCCGAAGTCCGGAGGCGGCAACGGGCCCGAGCTCGAACCGTTTATTTGGCGAAACTAACGGCTGAGGGGAAATACGACGCCAGTCGTCCCGGCCCTCCACCAGACCCTGAGCGATGGATTGCCAAGAATCAACGCTCGTACAACAAGCGTGGCAAGAAAGGGAGAGGCAAATTTGTGGGTGCTCAAGGTTCAGGGAACGGAGCAGCCAGGGACGCGGCCATGCTGGATGTGGCAAGCCGGGTGGAAGCGGAGAAGAAGAAAGGGGACGAGGACGGCAGGGGTGGCGTGAAAATGGGGGGTGGAAGAAGGCGGAGGAAGTGAGAGAAAGATTCCTGCCTAGGACGACGGGGAAATGCGTTGAAGCGATACGGGGGGTGGGGAGGGAGAGATGAGAAGTTACGGGGGCCCTCCCACCGGGCCTGAAATACTGAAATCTTTTCAATGCGTGGGGGCTACGATGGCAAGGAACGATTTTCCCCCCGAGAGTTGTTTTTCTGGTTTTGCCATTATCTTTCATCGGCCTCCCGACTCCGACACCTGCGTCTCGCCCCCTTTCCATTCCTACTTCTGGCCTTCTCTTTCCGGTTCCTTGTCACAGGGACTCGCACAAAAATAACATTCTTTGCTCAGTAGAATACGTCCCGTGGCAAAGCGTCCACGATGGCGTCCGGCGTACCCCTCAGCGGCGGATGTGTGTATTTCGGAAGGCTTTTCCCATCCTCGACTAAGCCTTTTAACAAGGCATCGATGCCCTTCTCGTCCAAGCCGCCCATGGTTTTTATCACTTCTTTTCCCCAGTCATATGTGGCAACCACGTAAGGATCTTTTCCTGGCCAGCCATCGCGTACGAGGAAAGGGGTAGTGGGGTTCAGCATTTTCAGCTCGTCATAGTTGTGCCTGATGTAAGAGCGCGCGGCGGCGCTGCTTTCCTCAGAAGCGCTTATGAGAAAACGGAGCTCACGAACGTGCTTGGAGATGGAAGCACGCCATGCGGCCATGACTTTTCTTGAATGTACTGTTGGTGGGAGCAAAGTTTTGACAGGATGAGCACAGGAGTGGAATACATGATGCATTTTTTGGACGGAAGTCTCTATCCTTTACCAGTCTAATACTAAAAAACAACCCTCTCCAATCTCGTACACAGCCAAATTCACATGTAATCAGGTTTTGGGTGTCTAGCAACCTCGAAGTCACTGCTGTAAAGACAGATGCAACGAGAGATGGTTGCATGAAAGAGGGGCTTCCAAGCTCTTTCCAGCCGCAGCCCGGCGGCGGCGTCTGATTGCTCTCGGTCACACAAGCCGTCAGAAAGGAAAAAACATCTCCCAATGCCACGCGAGACGAAGGACGTAGAAAAATCGAATGTGGCTGATTTTTTGGGTTGACAATCTTATTAAACGTGCGGGGAAGGCGATGGTATTTTTTCCCTAAAGATGTCTACAGCTTGTAGGGCATTGCATGGCAATGGCAGGAGGTTTGAGTAGGCGACAATGAGATGGGGGCAACTGAATGCTTTGCCATCACGTTTTCAAAGTATGCTTTCTTGATTCTTCTCGTAGGATCGCACCGGAATCCCAGACAATTTTATCTGCCGCTTTGATCGGACAGGTCAATCGGTGCAGGTAAAATTGACTTTCGGAGAAGCGAGCGCGGCAGATCATGCCATGTACATAAGGCAGTCCCAAAACCAAGCCGCGTATTTTGCAATGCAATGGTGCTTTGGTCTCATTTTCCGGAGAAGTGGTATCAAATCATTGCACGTTCTCCCTAGGCTCGAGGAAAGACTGATGTCCGCCGTCCACGTCCCGACCCTGGGGTGGATTCTGAAAACATTTTATTTTTGTTATTCCTGCCTTCCGTTCTAGTAGGACCATTTCTTTTTATGCATCCCACTACCTTCCTTTGAACGCGTTGATTTTTGCGTCGATTCAGACACGACACCACTGGCCAAGCTCTCCTCGTCTTGTCCGTAGTCTTCTTCTCCCTCATCTTCCATTTCATCGTCCTCAATCTCCATCTCGTCCTCATCTTCCTCGTCCTCTCCTGCCGCCTCGCCTTCCTCCTCGCGCTTTCGCTTGTTCCGCCTCTGACTAGAATAGGACTGAAGCATCATGGAAAATTTTGTTGATAATAAGAAGTATGAGAGGCACGTTCAACTATTTAATTTTCCACCATGCTATTAAATATTGTAAATCGACAACGCAAGACCATCCTTCCTCTCCTTC